TTCAGATTCTTTTTATGTATAAATTAGTAAACTCCATAATTTGAAAAGTTTGAGGCTTTAAAGTTTTGTTTTTTGTAATTTAACACAATAGACTACGAGAACAAGATTATACGATTATAAAAGTAGTTTCCTCGTAACAATGTGACACAAATAAATAAAGTATATATTTTATATATGAGTCGAAGAAAGTTTAGCAAAAATATTTTGTTCTACAGCATAAACTTTAATTTTTAAAATGTTAATCATTCAAATGGTTTAGAAAATATACAACGTTAAAGGCCTATCTCCTAGTTACAAAGGTATCGTCTACAAATCTACAATATCACAAACGTTCAGATTCCTCGTCTAAAAATCTATAGTCAAACAAGGGTTTTAACTGTAAAAATATCGTTAAAGTTTGTGTTAAATAGTTCTAATCTAAAAACGTAGAGAGAAACAACGGTTTTCTTTACAGAGTTGTCGTAAAAACAAAACAACTTATAACGAAATAAGGAATAAAAGTACAGGGTTGTCATATATATAAAACTATTTTAATACAGACGTTTAAATAACAAAGATATAACCAAAAAAACTACATATTTTAAATAAAGGTGAAAAATACAAGATTGTCGTCAAAACATTCTTTAGTAAAACACGAGTTTCAAATGATAGAGGTGTCGTCTAAAAATTACATTAAAATAAACTTTTAAATTACAGATTTATCGTCTGTACAGCTACAGTAAAATTAAAAAGGCTAAATTCGCGGGCAACTGCAACATGTCTCCGCCACACTATCTCAACATGGCCAATTTCGACACCAGAAAATTCGTAAAATAATCAAAAACTGACTACATCACTGCTTGAGCCCCGCAAGAAGGTATCTTTCTATCAAATCCCATGTAAGTTGGTTTACATACACGCATGGAAACTCCAAATTGTGCTTTCCTCGCTGAAAAATTGAGGCAAACGAGAAAAAATAATAAATAATATTTTTATACTAAAACCCACGTAAATCGGTCGAAATATGGCCAAAAAATGAACCAAAACCCCTAAAATTATGCTTTTTGTAAACTTTGATCCTACCTACAATGACCACAACACCGATGTCTCTTGGGTGCATGAAAATATATATTTTCACCAACTATACATCTTGATTGCTGTAAATATGACCGCTCAGGAGACCAAAATATACATATTTGGGTTGTTTGAATATTGGTCCCATAAAGGCCTAAAAAAGAAGGTGAAAAGAAGTCTGGACATATTGGACCAAAGTATATCCATACCAAGTTTTAAGTCAATCCTCCGAAAAAGGAGGAATGGCGGACGATTGAAATGTGTTTGGAAGAAAATAAAGAAACAATATATCTCTCTACGGAGACATAAAAAGATATCTACAGGAATTTTAAAATGACGGTTTCTGCTTACAAAGGTATCGCCTGAATATATATTAAACAAAGGTTTATGTTATAAGGAAGTCGACTACAAAGCTACAGTAAACAGAGGTTTAAATAACAAAGACATCACCAAAAATATATAATAAAATCAAGGGTTTAAACTATAGAATTGTCCCTTACAAAAGCTATAGTAACAGAATTCACGTAACAAAGATATCACGTAAACTCTATGATATATATATTAAACAAATTTTATTTCTTACATATGTGTGGTCTAAAACTACAGAATAAAACAAGGGATTAAGTAACAAAGGTGTCGCTAAAATTTACACTAAAATAACAAAGATATCCAATAACGTTAGCAAACTAACGATGTTGTCGTCTACACGTTAAAAATAATCCGAGGGATTAAGTGACCGGGTTTAGTCTAGAAATGTACAGAAAAACAAAAGAATATATTGTCTACAGACAGCAGTAAAATATATGATTAAAACTGCAAAAGATATGAAGTAAAACAAAACATTAAGTTACAGAGATATTGATTACATTATAAACAATAGTTAATTTACATATATTCTCTTTTCTACATTATTCTATAACAGTATGAAATAACAAACCTATTAAAAAACATTTCGTAGTTTTTGCGAGTGAAGTATAATAACTGCAAAATAAAATATCAAGTACACTGGTTTCTGGAACTATTTATATTTAAGTAACATATTACTTATATATTGTGTTTTTTCGGTAAATGAGAGACTATGAAAATACAGTAGTTATTGTAGATTTCTCAAGATATTCTGTACTTAATTGTTAGGAATTAATTACACCATGATTCACATTTCAAAATGTGACGTAACTTAAAGAATAGAAATGTGGCTTTACCTTATGTTATTGTTCGGTAGCTGGGCGTTATAAGTAGCTCAAAGCTTTGTCCCTGACTGAAACCAAGAGTGCAATACAATTAACCTTTTAAAGTCCATGAAATAATTCAAATTGGTAGATTAATCTACACTTTTTTCCGTCACTGGGGACGGGTACTTTTGCTTGTAATGAAATATATTACATGTGTTTGTTATACAACACCGATTCATACGACAATAATGATATTATAATTAATTCGTATAATAATAGTGATCTTGTCATGAAAGGGATTAGATCTTCAGAAATAATTTTACACTTCTTTATACACCAGTATAAAACAGCACAAAGATAAGAGCCTGTTTCCAAGACAATGACAATTAACAACATTTATTTAGCTACAGCAACAAACTAAACGGTAGCAGTTTAGTAATAAGTTTAATGATGTTTCTTTACAACATCAATAATATCGGTTTTTTCGAAGCTGTGTAAAAACGTTGAACTTAACATAATAAACCTAATCTCTTATCCTTGCCACATAAACCATTCCATCACACAACATTTGGATTTTTTCCTCACATTGGATGCTAAGAGATAAAGGGTTATTGTTTAAGGTTTTAAATTTTGTAGAATCGTCCAGAATATCACGTATTTTATTAAGGTAGTCATTTTTGTTCAGAATAACAATGACATTACCTTTATCAGGGCAATAATAATAGTGACCAATGCTCAAAATTTTTAGAATACCTTAACGCACAACATCCTGCCATTAAATTTACACTTTTTTAAGACATGCTCATTAACCGTAATGCTAATGGATTTTTTTACATCAATTTACCGAAAAACGACGTCCACTGGTCTCCTTACACACTTTATCCCGTTTACGTATAAACGGAACCTTGTTACATGCTGAACTAAACAGAGCTTACAACCTCTGCTCCACATATCTTAATCTACACTCTGAAATTTCGTTCATACATGATATCCTGAAACGTAACTGCTACCCACAACACTTACTAGAAAACATTACCAACACCTTCCTAACAAAGAAACTCACAAATCCAATTAAGATACCAACTGTACCCAAACTTACTATACACTCCTGTCTTCCCTATACTGGCTTAAATTTGAAAAATCAACTTAAACGCATACTTGGTCGTTACTACCCTCAAGTGGATTTCAGATTAGTTTTTAAATCCACATCACGCATAAAAAAATTTCTTCCATAATAAAGATCTCTTCCCCATTCCTTATTGTTCTTGGCTTGTCTGTCTTTACACGTGTGGAGACTGTAAGGCCTCTTATATTGGCAAAACCAAACGCCATTTAAAAGTCAGAGCCTATGAACATATGGGAATTTCCATCAAAACGCAAAAAAAAAAGAGTAACCCCTGTGTTTCCTCTATACGTCAACATAGTGAAGAAACAGGAGATCGACCTATGCTATCAAATTTTTCTATCCTCTGCAAGTCTAATACTGACCTGGAATTATTGATTAAAGAAACCCTCCACATCAAACAGCACTCTCCAACTCTGAACAACATGCAGTCTTCATTTAAATTATACATTTTTTAATATGTTCGTATTACTGATTTTACTTTTCTTTTGTTGTGTTTTCTTGCTGTAGTTTCTCCCCATGATTATTGTTTTGTGTTTTATTTGTTTAATTATTGTTAAATTTAGCATTTGTACTTTAGCAGTGTCCAAAGACTTGTGTAAATTTATTTTATTTTGCTTTAGATACTTTGGAATCTGATAAAGTTCCGAAACGTCCCCTTTTTGTTAATAAACAATGTTGTATATCATAAGTGTAGTAATCTTGTTTATTAATAATTTACGTTGTTTATAGAATACTTGACTGTGACCTATTACAATCTTGCAAATTTGAAACGTTGATAATTGAATTTGTTTATAAAATACCTAAACAGTGTGGTGCGTGAGTACCTAAAGAATGTGGTCCATCAAAATCTTGAAAACTGAAACGTTAATAATCTACTTGATCTATAAGCTAACTTGAGTAGTGTCGCCAGTCAAAATCTTTAAAACCTGAAACGTTGGTGACTTACTTTTTGTACTGAATAACTCCCCTGTAGTATGAATTTTATGTCTTCAAAATTCATATATTTTTCTAAT